CTATTTATGGTAACAGGTGGGGGACTGCGTTCCCCCAGCTAAGAAATATAACGGTAAGGGGCCATAATTTTTCTTTAAAGTACTAAGGGAAAACCCTTTTCCTTTTCTAAAAGAATTAGACCATAATGAAGGTAGTAAATGTGTAGGAGTCTGAGAGTTGTATGGGGGGGGATAATGTTTGATGTGGTGTTTTGTAGGTTTTTTTTGTGTGGAATGTTTTAGTTTAACCATGTGTTGAAAGACAAAGGCATTATGATCATGTTTTAATAAGGTAAATATCTTTTTCATGAGACAAATACAAAGGAACACTCAAAACATTGTTAAAAAAAATAAAATAAGTGCATGTAACAGAGTGTGTATCTTTTTATTTTAATATGTTTATTTCTCTTGGGGTAAGGTGGGAAATGGCTATTTTTCACCTTTATTATATTGTAATTTTATTTATTGTAATTATGTCCTTGGTATAAGTTTTTAACAATACAATGAGGGTAACGCATTGGATTTTATAAATTCTTTGTTTAAAAGTTTCATATATAATTAATAAGGGACATTCTTTTGGGTTTATATTTTCTTTTTTGTTTTAAAAGACTGGCTGTAGGTTTGGATAAATAAACGCCCTGTATGTTCAGGTGTGGGGGTGGTTTTAGTTTTCATGTAGTTGTGGTGCTGGTTGGGCATTTTTGGGGGGGGAAATCAAGCTTTTTAGTTGATGTGTCGGGGTAAGGGAAATTTGGGGTTGTTTGTTTTTATTATTTAATGGATCATGTTTTTTATGTAAACAAAAAATACACAAATGTTGTTGTTAAATTGTGTTTTTTTTTAAATAAAAAAAAAAAAAAAAAAAAAAAAAAAACTTGCCTAACCCTACTGGGTTACTGCTTCTGGGTTAACCTCCTACTTTCCCTGAAATTTCCCTTCATAAAACCCATACCCCCACACCCTTAATTTTTATCACAAACCGCCCCATCCCATCTCCCCCCCCCCAATCCCCCCCCCCAACCAATTTTCCCTACCCTAATAACCAAAAATTTTGCAAAATTTAAAATACCTTTTCCCTGAAAAAAACCCCCAAAGCTCCTAAGACCTCTCCCCCCCTACGAAAAAGCCTCCCCACCCCGAAAATAACACAGTTGATAAATCCAAAAAACCTACTTTTTGCCCCCCTACTTCCCCCCCCCACCCCCCCCAAATTTCCTCGCCCACAGCCTCAAAGAAAAGGAAATTTTTGACGCATGAAAAAACCCAACTGTGACAGGGGGAAACCCGGGCCTTTAAATTTCCCGGGTTCCTCATCACCCCCCCCCCCCGGGCTTACCTTTAAACTTGCCCCCCTCATTACACCCCCCTCATACGCGGGGCGAAACCCCCCCTTCACAAACCCCCCCCCCCCCAAAAAACCCAATTTCTCCAAACACCCCCAAAAAAAACCCCCCTTTTCACACATTCATATCCCCTGAGCCCCAATCCAACCCGGGGGGCCCGGCCCCCTTTCCCTGACAGTTCTCAAAAAAAAACCCTTATCGCACAGGGCCATTTTTCATAGCCCTTTCCCCGGAAAATCCCAAAACTTTTCCCCTCATGTACTCTTTTTCCCAAATTACCTTTTTTAAACCTTTTTCCCCAATACCTTCCCCAAAAATTTTGAAATTTCCGTACAAAATTAACACAACGGACGAAAATTATCCCAAACCCTTCCCCTTTCCCCCTCCCTTTTTTGGCACCAAGACAACAAACCCCCAGTTCTCTGTGTTTGCGCCATTCTCCCCCAAATTTTAAAACATATTTTCAGAACCTCCACTAGGCCCCCCTCCCTCAAAACCTCCCAAAAATTCGCTTTTTTAAAAATATTAGGTAACCCATCTTTTCCCGGTCCCTTTCCCCCTGCCCTCAACCCTTCACCACTTCCCCCCCACCTCCCCCCCCGGTTTTGCCTCCCTCCAACCCCCTTTTTCCCTCTTCCCCATCCCCTTTGCGGTCCCAAAATCCCACTAAATTTTTCTATCCCACCTACCCCCCCCCTTTTCTCTTCCTTTTCTCCGAAAAAACCCAATCATCAGCAAAACCTATTTAATAGAATCTGTGTCAGTGGGGACCCGTCCCCCCCAAAAACCCCTCCCCCCACCCTCCACAAAAATTTTTCCCGCCACGGTAGGGCCCCTCAACGTCGTCCTTGAATTTTCTGGAACATCCCCCGGTTGGGTTTAAATCACCCTTTAGTACGTCCCCCAATCCTCCCCTGACCCTGATTTCATCAAAAACGTTTAAATTATTCATCTTATTTTAAAACGACTCCTAATTTCCCCCCAAAACCCTTTTTTCCCCCTCCCCCCCAAATCCCCCCCGCATAACAATAAATTCAACTGACCCTCTAAATAATTCTGCAACCAAACCCCAACGTGCCCTTTCCCTGCCCCTTTTTTCCTAAAAAATTCTACAATTTTCACCTTTGCCTGCAACTCCCACCAATCTAACAAACCCCACCCCCTTTCATCCCAAACCTCCCAAAAGCCCTTCCACCCATGACTGAAAAAAAACCGCCCTTTGATCCTCCTCCTGTAAAAGCCTCACATTTAATTTCCAATAGCCCTTATATATTCCGTAATTCCATCCACCCTAAGGGTCAAACCAACACTTTCTCTGTGGTCTGAAAAACCCACGTCCCACCTTTTTCTAACCTCCCCCACTCCTATCCCCCGCCTCACATAAAACCCCATCCAACCTTCCTATAAATCCCCTGTACATAGGTTTTCTCCCAACCCGAACCCCCCCCGCCAACCACATTACCCCCCGACACACCCAATGCATCCCTTTTAAAACACCCAACACACACCCCGCCCCCCCAGGGAACTACGTCTACATGCCTTTAAACCACAATTCCAATCAAACCCCCAAAAAAAACGCATGGCAGGTAAAAACCCCCGAATTTATATAACAAAAAGCAAAGAAAAAAAATCTGATTTTTTTCCTTCGTTAAACCCAAACGCAGGGATATAAAAAAACCCCCAAAACAAACCCTACTCTCCCCCCCCCACCCACCACCCGAACAAAACCCCCCCCCCACCCCCCCCCCCCCCACCCCATGGGCTTGGGAAGGGACTGGTCTCTTTACTAAAAACCCGCCCCCCCCTCCGCCCTTTAAAAGCGTTTTCCAAGCCCCAAAAAACAACCCATATCCTCTCAAAAACTCAAATAACTACCTGGGTTTTAAAATTATGCTCCTGTAAAGGAAAAACCCAACCCTCAACTTTGTACCTTTTAAGGAAACCCCTCCCCAAACCCCACCCCTTTTCCCCCGTTTTTAAGCCATTTGCATTTATCGTTAAAAAACACCGAATGGTCCCAAAAAAAAGGGGGCTTTTCCCCTATGCCGCTGTGGCTTGCTTTACCAAATTTCCCCCTTCAAAACTGCTTTCACTTTCCTTATTTCTCTTTTTAAAAAGAACCCCTTCCCTACCCCCCCCCCTTTTCCCCTCCCCCGAATTTTTTTCCCTTTTACTCCCCCCCCCCCTGTAGGTGAATTTCGGACCACCTCCGCCCCAAAACCCTTTTTACCCGGGCTTTTTCCCAGGGTTTAAAAAATTTCCCTCTAATTTAGTCAGCCCCGCGCTCTTTTCCCAGAGTGCCTCCCAAAGCCATCTTCCTCAGGTACATTCTCCCGTTTTACCTCTCCCACTCAAGTGTAAACCTTTCCAGTGTTCCCTACTACCTTTCCCACTTTCTCCTCAGGCCCCTTTCAATTGCTGCTTTTTTATTGAAACCGTTCATCTTGTTCCCCCTTTTACCAAGGCCTCCTCCAAGGGAATTTCCCGGAGCACTGAAATCCAAGGACAAACCCCCTGGGGCGTCTCCACCACTTTCCCCCCACCACCTCGATGTTGGAGAAGGAACTTTTCCCCCTCCACCGGGGGTGTGACACACGTCCCCCCTCGTTCACCCTCCTTTCCCACCTCCTCACTCCTTTGGTAAATCCCATTCTTCGGGCCCCCGCCCCCCACACTCGCCCGCTGGATGTCCCCCCACCGGGACTGACACCCCGGGTCAACTCCAGTTTCACCCTTTGGGGCCGCTATATGGTCCCAAAAAAGCCACAAAGACGAAAACGTTCTCCCTTTTCCCCCCATACGACCCCATTACCTGGTTTTTTTGTGCCCCCCGGGGAAAATTACATACGAAGGTATAGGCGTCTTTAAAAATCATCTTGATATTGGTTAAAGGACCCCCCGGGGGGCCCCCCATAAAGGTCCATCCCCCCAAACCCCCCTCCCGGCTTCATGAATGAAACCATACTTGGGGAAAAACTTCCTGTATACCCAAAATGCGTTCCCCCGAAGGGGACCCTTCCCCCAAATCTACCCCAGTGGGAGAATGTAGATCGTTTAAAGAAAACACACATCCCCTCGTCGAGTTGAGGGCCCCATTCGCCGTTCCTGATACTCCTTTCCCCAAACTGCTGTTAAATAAACTATTCCCTCAGGAACTTTACAAATTTCTCGTTTCATCCCATTAAGGGCCACACCATACATTTTTCCCCATTAGGGAAAACCATAAAAAATCCCTAATAATTGCAGGTAAACGAAAGTTCAAGTAGCAGGGCTCAGAGAAACCCCCCTCAACAGCTTTTAAAGCAAACTGATTTATCCTCCGCCGGTTTTACTTCCCCCATGTCTGAAAAAGTGAAAACTGCGCAAAACCAGTTGTAGGGGGGAAACTTAAATGCACAGTGCTCCCACGGCCCAACAGCGTCGGGAAAAATGGGGGTGGAAGGTGAAATTTCTTTATTACTCTATAATTTGTTTAAAGATTGGGGCGAATTAAAAAAAGTAAGTTTAAACCCTGCTTACAGGATTCATTACCTTTGTGACTTGTGAGTTCATTACCTTTGTACCTAGTTCAGCTATCAAAACTTTGGGGGCCCAGTCCCTGGACCCATACGTATCTTTGTAACTTGTCATGATTGTGACCCGACCTACCTGGAGCTCATTACCTTTGAAAATTGTGAGTTCATTACTTTTGAAATTGTGAGGTCATTACCTCTGTAACTTTCTCAGCTATCAAAACTTTGGAGTCCAGTCCCTGGACCAATTATGTACCTCTGTAATCTTTAGACTACCGCCCACAGGATGGGTATGGGGTGCATAATATATGTGAGGGAAAAGTAAGTGTAAGTGGGGTTAAGGTTGTTCGGGCAACCAGGAACCATTAGAGAGTTACGTCGCGCGCACCCCCCCCCCCCTCTGGCGGGCTGGGGCAAAACTAGTTCCTGGTGTCCGATTTGTTAAAGTTTCTACTCCTGGTAATATTGACCTTACCTGGTGTGGGTTGAAGTTTGGAGAGTCACTTCACCTCCACTCTTCTCCTAATCAGGTAGGGTGATCTACCAGGAGTATTACTGTTTGTTCTTTTCTAGTGTTTGCTGGTTACCAGTAATGATTTTGGCATTTATTCTTTTTCTTTCTTAAATGTTATATTATCATGACTATGGGTAACCAGTTTATTTTTTTTCTTATTACCAGCTCTGTTCCTGGCGTGGTCTTCCAGGATAGACGCCAGATAAAGGAGCAAGACGTGTGTTAATAATACTTATTAACATTATTCTACTACTACCGGCCCTTACCTATTCTACTTGTGCTCCATCCAAATGGTAGGAGATTCCAGAACATCGGATTGTTACCATCTGCCCAGGATAACCTACATAAATAACATCAGAGGAACTATCCAGGGCCATACCTACTCCTGCCCAACTCAAAGAACTGAAGGCCATTTTTTTTTATTATATTTAAATTTTAAGTAAAATTCTCAAAAATCATTATTCTCATTTTTCCTAAGTTATTTCTTTATTTATTTATTTTTCCATTCATTTCTTTTGTTCAGTTGGAAGGCGTTCCACTGACAATATACATTATTAAACTAAACTAACTAACAACAGGTTTTTAAACATTTTGACCACTGTTAGACCTGCTCTGAAAACTTATTTAAACACTCTGAACACTGTTATTTAAACAATCTGATCAATGTTTTTAAACACTTTTGAGCACTTTTTATTAAACACTGTTAAAGTTCCACAACTCTATGGCGGAAACCTGAGGTACTTAATTATTGGTTAATCTAGGGAACAGTGACTTCCCTGGTGTTCACGAGGCACATGGATTATAGTTGTGGAAATGGTTTTCAAAGCATACAGAAAACCTGTTTTACTACATTAAATGGAAAATAAACTAATCAACGTTCCATGTTGAAATTTTTGTGTCGTTCAATATGGAACTTTTGTGTCTGAAATACCCAGCAGACTTTCCGTGGTGGAATTCATCGAGGAAACTACTTCACACAAACACGTTTCGTCGAGAAACTTTTATGGGGTAAACTCACACCCAAATGTTCGAGGGTGTGAGTTTTGCTTCATAAACGTGAGATTATTTAGTCGGTGATGGTTCTCATAAAAATAGTCCATAATTAATAAACAGATTTAGGGAAGAATATTTGTCAAAAATTATACAATTTTATACTTACAAATGTAAATATATTTAGAAATATGCATGCATGTAAATATATAACCAGAGACAGGTACACAATTAGAACAGTTTCTTGGTAGAAAGAATACAGATACTGTTAGTCTGAGGATAAAACACCTACCTGCAGTTCGTCGCACTGCTGCTGCTTGTTCCTCTTCACATTATTTAATCTCGTTATTTGCGCTTAACTAAGATTTAATTAGGAAAAATCTAGGTTAAACGTTACATAACGAATATAAAATTCCAGGTATTGTTTGCGATCGTTTAGAAACGGACATGTAAACACGCTAGAAAACAGTATGACTATCATGAAGAATGTTAATTTAAGGAGAAACGCTGACAAAGTCTACGGGTATCACCCGCCGCGTTTCACTACTCCATTCCCATCCTGTGCGTGGTAGTCAAAAGAGGTACATAAAGGGTCCAGGGACTGGGGCCCCAAAGTCCTGACAGGTGAACAAGGTACAAAGGTAATGAATTCACAAGTTACAAAAATAATGAATCATGTAAGTAAATTTACTTACGTTTATACGTGGTTACCGTCATGAACAAATTATAAATTAATGAGCAATTCACACATCCACACCCGGTCACATCTGTAATGAGTTTTCAGTGCAAATATTAATTGTTGGGTCTCACACACACACACACGCACACACACACACACAAAAATAGGAGAGTCCACACACACACACACACGAGCGTACATACACACACGAGCACACACACTCATGCATGTACGAGTACACAAATACACACGCAAACAAGCACACACACACACACACACGCACACACACACACGTGGTAATCCTTATTTACAGAGTGCATATCAGAGTATTTTTCCAGAATGGTCTGTAATATACCACTGTCAATAAAATATTTTGACATATCTTGAACATTTCTGAGCGAGTTGTCTCTGAATTCATTAATTTAATCACACTCCAGTACATAATGACGCAGGGTGAGATATTTCGTTTGGTCTACATCTGGTGGTGATGATTTAACCTGCCAAAGATACTTGTAACCCAGCCGGGGCCGAGCGGTAGTGACATCCAAGAGTCTGCTTATTTTGTTGGATGCACCATAGACATGTGGCTCCTCCTGCGTGATAGAATGATGATAGATGGACAGACTTGTGTCAATCTCCCAGAGTCTTAAGTCAATAAAATTCAGTTTAAGTTCTTTTCGTATTGTTCTCAAACTGCTAGCTGACAAACCAAGATTGTAATCTACCCGCTCTTTGAAAGCATACAGCTTTTCCAGTTTACATTCTGTCATACATCTAAGCCAAATGGAGATGGAATCACAGCATGTGTACTTGAATCCATTGTTCCAATCCTACCATGCTTGTTGGTTTTGGAACAAGAACCCAATTTATACTTAATGAGTTAAAGGCATTTATTGGACAGAGAATATTTAAAAAATTAAAGTGTAAAGCTTGAACATGGAGCATTCGTGAAAGGAGGACAATAGTTTTTTTTAAAGGTGGGGCCCCGTTTTGAGGGGGCCCCAAATTTCTTCATGAGAGCCACCCTCTGTACGACAACCCACTACCAGTGCACATGGATTGGTGAACAGAACCATCAACGAATATAATTTTTTTAAGGTGTGCGTAGACTAAGTTATAAATACGCTTAAGGCTCATTTTTGGGCTTAAAGGGCGAAGCTTTGGTTGTGACAAAAGAAGTATTTTGGGGAAATGGGGAAAGGTTTTAAAAAGGGGGTAATATCCCATGGAGCGGAGAGGTCCCGCGTTCCCTTTCCCTAACACAGATCTGTACGGTCTGTAGTGGTTCCAATTTTTCGTTCTCTGGGGGTTGTTCACGGTGCTAGAAAGTTTTTGGGGGGTTCTGTCCATGGATTTGAAAAGGGCCTCCTGAACATTTTTGCACCTTAGGGTTTTTTCTTTAAGTAACCGATTTTTGAAACTGGAAAACGCTCTTTCCCCATATTTAAAAAATTTTGGGATTTGGAGCGTCCCGAATGATCCTCATTGCTTCTTTCCGCGTTTTTCCCAGCCCTCCATCAAGCTTCCCGTCAGACACAAGAGCAAATAGGGGCGCAGCTTAAACAACAATCATCTAATATAACAAGATAAGCTATTTCATCCTTGTCCATTTTTTAATTTTTCCTCCCCTCTTCAACCTGTTTCTTCTTTTCTTCTTCTCTCGTGGGATAACGTTTAGTAATTACCGAAAATTTATCGAGGTTCCCCCTCAAGTTAAATACAATAGGAAACCCGGGTGTCACACTAAAAGCTAAAAAGACAGTGAAAGTACCCACCCGTGTGGGGCGATAGCCCCCCGGGGTTTTGCGCTTCACTACCTTACCAGGTCCAACTACATCTCACCAGGTTTAACTCTACTATCACCAGGTCCACATTTCCTTCACCCGGTCCACACTACGCTCTCACAGGCCCCTCACATTTACCAATCCCACTACTTTTCAACAGATTACACTACACTCTCACCGGTCCCCCATAACTTCACCCGGTTTTAACCAACTCTCACCCGGTACACACTACACTCTCACCCGGCCACATAAAAATCACAAGGTCAAATCTACACCTCACCAGGGCCAAAAAACACTTCCCCCCGGTCCAGAACCCTCACCCGGTCCACTACATCACAGGTCCACATT